CACAACTAGAGACTCCGCAACTAGAAATTTGACAGCTTGAAACTCCGCAACTAGAAACTCCACAACTAGAGACTCTGCAACTAGAAACTCCACAACTTGAAACTCTGCAACGCGAAACTCTGCAACTAGAAACTCCACAACTATAAACTCCACAACTAGAAACTCCCAACTAGAAACTACACAACTAGAAACTCCGCAACTAGAAACTCCGCAACTAGAAAATCCACAACTAGAAACTTCACAACTAGAGACTCCGCAACTAGAAACTCCACAATAAGAAACTCGGCAACTAGAAACTCCCAACTAGAAACTCCACAATTAGAAACTCCACAACTAGAGACTCCGCAACTAGAAACTCCACAATAAGAAACTCCGCAACTAGAAACTCCACAACTAGAAATCCACAACTAGAAACTCCACAACTAGAAACTCCACAACTAAAAACTCCAAAACTAGAAACTCCACAACTAGAAACTCCGCAACTAGAAACTCCTGAACTAGAAACTCTACATTTAGAGACTGCACAACTAGAGACTCCACAACTAGGACCTCCACAACTAGAAACTCCACAACTAGAAATCCACAACTAGAAACTTCACAACTAGAGACTCCGCAACTAGAAACTCCACAATAAGAAACTCGGCAACTAGAAACTCCCAACTAGAAACTCCACATTTAGAGACTGCACAACTAGAGACTCCGCAACTAGAAATTTGACAGCTTGAAACTCCGCAACTAGAAACTCCACAACTAGAGACTCCGCAACTAGAAACTCCACAACTTGAAACTCTGCAACGCGAAACTCTGCAACTAGAAACTCTGCAACTAGAACTCCACAACTAGAAACTCAACAGCTAGAAACTCCACAACTAGAAACTCCACAACTAGAGACTCCACAACTAGAACTCCACAACTAGAAACTCCGCAACTAGAAACTTCACAGCTAGAAACTCCACAACTTGAGACTTCGCAACTAGAAACTCGGCAACTAGAAACTCAACAACTAGAAACTCCAAAACTAGAAACTCCACAACTAGAAACTCCACAACTAGAAACTTCACAACTAGAAACTCCACAACTAGAAACTCCACAACTAGAAACTTCACAACTAGAGACTCCATAACTAGGAACTCCACAACTAGAACTCCACAACTAGAGACTCCACAACTAGAGACTCCACAACTAAAAACTCCACAACTAGAAACTCCACAACTAGAAACTCCGCAACTAGAGACTCCGCAACTAGAAACTTCACAGCTGGAAACTCCACAATAAGAAACTCCACAACTAGAAACTCCACAGCTAGAAACTCCACAACTAGAGACTGCACAACTAGAGACTTCGCATTTAGAAACTCCTCACATAGAAACTACACAACTAGAAACTCAACAACTAGAAACTCCACAACTAAAAAGTCCACAACTAGAAACTCCTGAACTAGAAACTCTACATTTAGAGACTGCACAACTAGAGACTCCGCAACTAGAAACTTCACAGCTAGAAACTCCTCAATTAGAACTCCACAACTAGAGACTCCGCAACTAGAAACTCCACAACTTGAAACTCTGCAACGTGAAACTCTGCAACTAGAAACTCCACAACTATAAACTCAAGTAGAAACTTCCCAACTAGAAACTTTAAAACTAGAGACTCCACAACTAGAGACTTCGCATTTTGAAAGTCCTCATATAGAAACTCACGACTAGACACTCCACAACTAAAAAGTCCACAACTAGGACCTCCACAACTAGAAACTGCACAGCTAGAAACTCCACAACTTGAGACTTCGCATTTAGAAACTCGGATACTAGAAACTCAAAAACTAGAAACTGCACAAGGCGAAACTTTACAAGTAGAAACTCCACAACTTGAAACACTACAACTAGATACACCACAACTACAAATTTCACAACTAGAAACTCCACAATTAGAAACTCCGCAACTGGAATCTCCGCAACTAGAAACTTTACAGCTGGAAACTCCACAACTTGAGACTTCGCAACTAGAAACTCGGCAACTAGAAACTCAACAACTAGAAACTCCACACCTTGAAATACCACAACTAGATAATCCACAACTACAAATTCACAACTAGAAACTCCTCAACTAGAAACTCCGCAACTAGAAACTCCACAACTAGAGACTCCACAACTAGGAACTCCACAACTAGAAACTCCACAACTACAGACTCCTCAACTACAGACTCCACAACTAAAAACTCCAAAACTAGAAACTCTACAACCAGAAACTCCACAACTAGAAACTCACAGCTAGAAACTCCACAACTAGAAACTCCAGAACTAGAAACTCCACAACTAGAGACTGCACAACTAGAGACTTCGCATTTAGAAACTCCTCATATAGAAACTCCACGACTAGACACTCCACAACTAAAAAGTCCACAACTAGAAACTCCACAACTAGAGACTCCACAACTAGGACCTCCACAACTAGAGACTCCACAACTAGAAACTCCACAGCTAGAAACTCCACAACTTGAGACTTCGCATTTAGAAACTCGGCAACTAGAAACTCAACAACTAGAAACTGCACAAGGAGAAACTTCTCAAGTAGAAACTCCACAACTTGAAACACTACAAGGATACACCACAACTACAAACTTCACAACTAGAAACTCCACAATTAGAAACTCCGCAACTAGAATCTCCGCAACTAGAAACTTCACAGCTGGAAACTCCACAACTTGAGACTTCGCAACTAGAAACTCGGCAACTAGAAACTCAACAACTAGAAACTCCACAACTTGAAATACCACAACTAGATACTCCACAACTACAAATTCCATAACTAGAAACTCCACAACTAGAAACTCCGCAACTAGAAACTCCGCAACAAGAAACTCCACAACTAGAGACTCCATAACTATGAACTCCACAACTAGGAACTCCACAACTAGAAACTCCACAACTACAGACTCAACAACTAAAAATTCCAAAAACAGAAACTCCGCAACAAGAAACTTCACAACTAGAGACTCCATAACTAGGAACTCCACAACTAGAAACTCCACAACTACAGACTCCACAACTACAGACTCCACAACTAAAAACACCAAAACTAGAAACTCTACAACCAGAAACTCCAAGACTAGAAACTCCGCAACTAGAAACTCCACAACTACAGACTCCACAACTACAGACTCCACAACTAAAAACTCCAAAACTAGAAACTCCGCAACAAGAAACTTCACAACTAGAGACTCCATAACTAGGAACTCTGCAACTAGAAATTCCACAACTACAGACTCCACAACTACAGACTCCACAACTATAAACTCCAAAACTAGAAACTCTACAACCAGAAACTCCGCAACTAGAAACTCCGCAACTAGAAACTCCACAACTACAGACTCCACAACTACAGACTCCACAACTAAAAACACCAAAACTAGAAACTCTACAAACAGAAACTACGCAACTAGAAACTCCAACTCTAGAAATTTCTCAACTAGAGACTCCACAACTAGAGACTCCATAACTAGGAACTCCACAACAAGAAACTCCACAATTACAGACTCCACAACTACAGACTCCACAACTATAAACTCAAGTAGAAACTCCCCAACTAGAAACTCCTCAACTAGAAACTCCGCAACTAGAAACTCCACAACTAGAGACTGCACAACTAGAAACTCCACAACCAGAAACTCCGCAACAACAAACTCCACAACTAGAAACTCCATAACTATGAACTCCACAACTAGAAACTCCACAACTACCGACTCCACAACTTCAGACTCCACAACTAAAAACTCCAAAACTAGAAACTCTACAACCAGAAACTCCGCAACTAGAGACTCCGCAACTAGAAACTCCACAGCTAGAAACTCCACAAATAGAAACACCACAACAAAAACTCCACAACTTGAAACACCACAACTAGATACTCCACAACTACAAACTCCACAGATAGAAACTCCACAACTAGAAACTCCAGAACTAGAAACTCCAAACTAGAGACTTCGCATTTAGAAACTCCTCATATAGAAACTACACAAATAAAAACTCCACGACTAGAGATTCCATAAGTAGAAACTCCCCAACTAGAAACTCCACAACTAGAGACTCCGCAACTAGAAACTCCACAACTAGAAACTCCACAACTAGACACTTCGCAACTAGAAACTCCACAACTAGAAAACTCCGCAACTAGAAACTCCATGACTAGACACTCCACAACTAAAAAGTCCACAACTAGAAACTCCACAACTAGAGACTCCACACTAGGACCTCCACAACTAGAAACTCCACAACTAGAAACTTCGCAACTAGAAACTCCACAGCTAGAAAGTCCGCAACTAGAAACTCTGCAACTAGAAACTCCGCAACTAGAAACTCCACAGCTAGAAACTACACAACTAGAAACTCCCCAACTAGAAACTTCACAACTAGAGACTCCGCAACTAGAAATTTGACAGCTAAAACTCCGCAACTAGAAACTCCACAACTAGAGACTCCGCAACTAGAAACTCCACAACTTGAAACTTTGCAACGCGAAACTCTGCAACTAGAAAATCCACAACTAGAAACTTCACAACTAGAGACTCCGCAACTAGAAACTCCACAATAAGAAACTCGGCAACTAGAAACTCCACAACTAGAAACTCCACAACTAGAAAGTCCACAACTTGAAACACCACACCTAGATACTCCACAACTACAAATTCCATAACTAGAAACTCCACAACGAGAAACTCCGCAACTAGAAATTCCGCAACTAGAAACTCCAACTCTAGAAATTGCACAACTAGAGACTCCACAACTAGAGACTCCATAACTAGAAACTCCACAACTAGAAACTCCACAACTAGAAACTCCACAACTAGAGACTCCGCAACTAGAAATTTGACAGCTAGAAACTCCGCAACTAGAAACTCCACAACTAGAGACTCCGCAACTAGAAACTCGACAACTTGAAACTCTGCAACGCGAAACTCTGCAACTAGAAACTCCACAACTATAAACTCAAGTAGAAACTTCCCAACTAGAAACTACACAACTAGAAACTCCGCAACTAGAAACTCCGCAACTAGAAAATCCACAACTAGAAACTTCACAACTAGAGTCTCCGCAACTAGAAACTCCACAATAAGAAACTCGGCAACTAGAAACTCCACAACTAGAAAGTCCACAACTTGGAACACCACAACTAGATACTCCACAACTACAAATTCCATATCTAGAAACTACACAAGTAGAAACTCCGCAACTAGAAACTCCACAACTGGAGACTTCGCATTTAGAAACTCAACATATAAAAACTACACAAATAGAAACTCCACGACTAGAGATTCCATAAGTAGAAACTCCCCAACTAGAAACTCGACAACTAGAGACTCCGCAACTAGAAACTCCACAACTAGAAACTCCACAACTGGAAACTCCGCAACTAGAAACTCCGCAACTAGAAAATCCACAACTAGAAACTTCACAACTAGAGACTCCACAGCTAAAAACTCCACAACTAGAAATTTCACAGCTAGAAACTCCGCAAATAGAAACTCCACAACTTGATACTCCTCAACTAGAAACTCGACAACTTGATACTCTGCAACGCGAAACTTTGCAACTAGGAACTCAACAACTATAAACTCAAGCAGAAACTCCCCAACTAGAAACTACACAACTAGAAACTTCGCAACTAGAAACTCCGCAACTAGAAAATCTACAAATAGAAACTTCACAACTAGAGACTCCGCAACTAGAAACTCCACAATAAGAAACTCCACAACTAGAAACTCAACAGCTAGAAACTCCACAACTAGAAACTCCAGAACTAGAAACTCCACAACTAGAGACTGCACTACTAGAGGCTTCGCATTTAGAAACTCCTCATATAGAAACTCCACGACTAGACACTCCACAACTAAAAAGTCCACAACTAGAAACTCCACAACTAGAGACTCCACAACTAGGACCTCCACTACTAGAGACTCCACAACTAGAAACTGCACTGCTAGAAACTCCACAACTTGAGACTTCGCATTTATAAACTCGGCAACTAGAAACTCAAGAACTAGAAACTGCACAAGGCGAAACTCCACAAGTAGAAACTCCACAACTTGAAACACTATAACTATATACACCACAACTACAAATTTCACAACTAGAAACTCCACAATTAGAAACTCCGCAACTAGAATCTCCGCAACTAGAAACTTTACAGCTGGAAACTCCACAACTTGAGACTTCGCAACTAGAAACTCGGCAACTAGAAACTCAACAACTAGAAACTCCCCAACTAGAAACTCCACAACTAGAGACTCCGCAACTAGAAACTCCACAACTAGAAACTCCACAACTAGACACTTCGCAACTAGAAACTCCACAACTAGAAAACTCCGCAACTAGAAACTCCACGACTAGACACTCCACAACTAAAAAGTCCACAACTAGAAACTCCACAACTAGAGACTCCACACTAGGACCTCCACAACTAGAAACTTCGCAACTAGGAACTCCACAGCTAGAAAGTCCGCAACTAGAAACTCTGCAACTAGAAACTCCGCAACTAGAAACTCCACAGCTAGAAACTACACAACTAGATACTCCCCAACTAGAAACTCCACAACTAGAGACTCCGCAACTAGAAATTTGACAGCTAAAACTCCGCAACTAGAAACTCCACAACTAGAGACTCCGCAACTAGAAACTCCTCAACTTGAAACTTTGCAACGCGAAACTCTGCAACTAGAAACTCCACAACTATAAACTCAAGTAGAAACTCCCCAACTAGAAACTACACAACTGGAAACTCCGCAACTAGAACTCCGCAACTAGAAATCCACAACTAGAAACTTCACAACTAGAGACTCCGCAACTAGAAACTCCACATAAGAAACTCAGCAACTAGAAAACACCACAACTAGAAACTCCACAACTAGAAAGGTCCACAACTTCAAACACCACAACTAGAGACTCCACACTAGGACCTCCACAACTAGAACTTCGCAACTAGGAACTCCACAGCTAGAAAGTCCGCAACTAGAAACTCTGCAACTAGAAACTCCGCAACTAGAAACTCCACAGCTAGAAACTACACAACTAGATACTCCCCAACTAGAAACTCCACAACTAGAGACTCCGCAACTAGAAATTTGACAGCTAAAACTCCGCAACTAGAAACTCCACAACTAGAGACTCCGCAACTAGAAACTCCTCAACTTGAAACTTTGCAACGCGAAACTCTGCAACTAGAAACTCCACAACTATAAACTCAAGTAGAAACTCCACAACGAGAAACTCCCCAACTAGAAACTACACAACTGGAAACTCCGCAACTAGAACTCCGCAACTAGAAAATCCACAACTAGAAACTTCACAACTAGAGACTCCGCAACAAGAAACTCCACAATAAGAAACTCGGCAACTAGAAACACCACAACTAGAAACTCCACAACTAGAAAGTCCACAACTTCAAACACCACAACTAGAGACTCCACACTAGGACCTCCACAACTAGAAACTTCGCAACTAGGAACTCCACAGCTAGAAAGTCCGCAACTAGAAACTCTGCAACTAGAAAACTCACAGACTAAAAACTCACAAACAAGAAGCCACTAGAAACTTCACAACTAGGACTCCCAACTAGAAACTCCACAACTAGAAACTCCACAACTAGAAAATCCACAACTAGAAAATCCAACAAAAACTCCCACTAGAAACTCGCAACTAGAAACTCCGCAACTCGAAACTCACAAACTAAAAACTCCCATAGAAACTCCAACTAGAAACCCACAACTAGAACTCACAACTACAAATCGCAACTGAAATCCACAACTAGAAACTCCGCAACTAGAAACTCACAGTGAAACCCTCCGCACAACTAGAAGCTCCACACTAGAAACTCAACAACTAGAAACTCCAACTAGAAACTCCACAACTACAGACTCCTCAACTACAGACTCCACAACTAAAACTCCAAAACTAGAAACTCTACAACCAGAAACTCCGCAACTAGAGACTCCGCAACTAGAAACTCCACAATAAGAAACTCCACAACTAGAAACTCCACAGCTAGAAACTCCACAACTAGAGACTGCACAACTAGAGACTTCGCATTTAGAAACTCCTCACATAGAAACTACACAACAAGAAACTCCACGACTAGAGACTCCACAACTAGAAACTTGGCAACTAGAAACTCAACAAATAGAAACTCCACAACAAAAAATCCACAACTGGAAACTCCACAACTAGACACTTCGCAACTAGAAACTCCACAACTAGAGTCTCCACAACTAGAAAACTCCGCAACTAGAAACTCCACGACTAGACACTTCACAACTAAAAAGTCCACAACTAGAAACTCCACAACTAGAAACTCCGCAACTAGAAACTCCGCAACAAGAAACTCCACAACTAGAGACTCCATAACTAGGAACTCCACAACTAGAAACTCCACAACTACAGACTCCACAACTACAGACTTCATAACTAAAACTTCAAAGCTAGAAACTCTACAACCAGAAACTCCGCAACTAGAAACTCCGAAACTAGAAACTCCAAAACAAGAAATTCTACAACTAGAGACTCCACAACTAGAGACTCCACAGCTAAAAACTCCACAACTAGAAATTTCACAGCTAGAAACTCCGCAAATAGAAACTCCACAACTTGATACTCCTCAACTAGAAACTCGACAACTTGATACTCTGCAACGCGAAACTTTGCAACTAGAAACTCAACAACTATAAACTCAAGCAGAAACTCCCCAACTAGAAACTACACAACTAGAAACTTCGCAACTAGAAACTCCGCAACTAGAAAATCCACAAATAGAAACTTCACAACTAGAGACTCCGCAACTAGAAACTCCACAATAAGAAACTCCACAACTAGAAACTCAACAGCTAGAAACTCCACAACTAGAAACTCCAGAACTAGAAACTCCACAACTAGAGACTGCACAACTAGAGACTTCGCATTTAGAAACTCCTCATATAGAAACTCCACGACTAGACACTCCACAACTAAAAAGTCCACAACTAGAAACTCCACAACTAGAGACTCCACAACTAGGACCTCCACTACTAGAGACTCCACAACTAGAAACTGCACCGCTAGAAACTCCACAACTTGAGACTTCGCATTTATAAACTCGGCAACTAGAAACTCAACAACTAGAAACTGCACAAGGCGAAACTCCACAAGTAGAAACTCCACAACTTGAAACACTACAACTATATACACCACAACTACAAATTTCACAACTAGAAACTCCACAATTAGAAACTCCGCAACTTGAATCTCCGCAACTAGAAACTTCACAGCTGGAAACTCCACAACTTGAGACTTCGCAACTAGAAACTCGGAAACTAGAAACTCAACAACTAGAAACTCCACAACTTGAAATACCACAACTAGATACTCCACAACTACAAATTCCACAACTAGAAACTCCTCATCTAGAAACTCCACAACTAAAAACTCCACAACTAGAGACACCACAACTAGAAACTCCACAACCAGAAACTCCGCAACAAGAAACTCCACAACTAGAGACTCCATAACTATGAACTCCACAACTAGAAACTCCACAACTACAGACTCCACAACTACAGACTCCACAACTAAAAATTCCAAAACTAGAAACTCTACAACCAGAAACTCCGCAACTAGAGAATCCGCAACTAGAAACTCCACAATAAGAAACTCCACAACTAGAAACTCCACAGCTAGAAACTCCACAACTAGAGACTGCACAACTAGAGACTTCGCATTTAGAAACTCCTCATATAGAAACTCCATGACTAGACACTCCACAACTAAAAAGTCCACAACTAGAAACTCCACAACTAGAGACTCCACAACTAGGACCTCCACTACTAGAGACTCCACAACTAGAAACTGCACCGCTAGAAACTCCAGAACTTGACACTTCGCATTTAGAAACTCGGCAACTAGAAACTCAACAACTAGAAACTGCAGAAGGCGAAACTCCACAAGTAAAAACTCCACAACTTGAAACACTACAACTAGATACACCACAACTACAAATTTCACCGCTAGAAACTCCACAATTAGAAACTCCGCAACTAGAATCTCCGCAACTAGAAACTTCACAGCTGGAAACTCCACAACTTGAGACTTCGCAACTAGAAACTCGGCAACTAGAAACTCAACAACTAGAAACTCCACAACTTGAAATACCACAACTAGATACTCCACAACTACAAATTCCATAACTATGAACTCCACAACTAGGAACTCCACAACTAGAAACTCCACAACTACAGAATCCACAACTAAAAATTCCAAAAACAGAAACTCTACAACCAGAAACTCCAAGACTAGAAACTCCGCAACTAGAAAGTCTAACTCTAGAAATTGCACAACTAGAGACTCCACACCTAGAGACTCCATAACTAGGAGCTCCACAACTAGAAACTCCACAACTAGAAACTCCAGA